CTTTCTTGGTCCGTGAGCTTGCCTGGTCCAGGAGCTTGCGTGGTCCAGGAGCTTGCCTGGTCCAAGAGCTCGCCTGGTCCAAGAGCTTGCGTGGTCCAGGAGCTTGCCTTGTCCAAGATTTTACCTGGTCTAGGAGCTTGCCTGGTCCAGGAGCTTGCCTGGTCTAGGAACTTGCCTGGTCTAAGAGCTTGGGTGGTCCAGGAGCTTGCCTGTTCTAGGAGCTTGCCTGGTCCAGGAGCTTGCCTGGTCCTGGAGCGTGCCTGGTCCACGAGTTTGCCTGGTCCAGGAGCTATCCTGGTCCAGGAGCTATCCTGGTCCAGAAGCTTGCCTGGTCTAGGAGCTTGCATGGTCCACGAGTTTGCCTGGTCCAGGAGCTATCCTGGTCCAGGAGCTATCCTGGTCCAGAAGCTTGCCTGGTCGAGGAGCTTGCCTGTTCGAGGAGCGTGCCTGGTCCAAGAGCTTGCCTGGTCCAAGAGCGTGCATGGTCCACGAGCGTGCCTGGTCCATGAACTTGCCCTGTCAAGGAGCTTGCCTATTGAAGGAGCTTGCCTGGTCCAGGAGCTAGCCTGGTCAAGGAGCTTGCCTGGTTCAGGAGCTTGCCTGGTCTAGGAGCTTGCCTGGTCCAGGAGCTTGCCTGGTCCAGGAGATTGCCTGGTCCAAGAGCTTGCGTGTTCCAGGAGCGTGCCTAGTCCAAGAGCTTGCCTAGTCCAAGAGCGTGCATGGTCCACAAGCCTGCCTGGTCTAGGAGCTTGCCTGGTCCAGGAGCTTGCGTGGTCAAGGAGCTTGCCTGATCCATGTGCTTGCCTGGTCTAGCAGCTTGCCTGGTCCACGAGCCTGCCTGGTCCAAGAGCTTGTCTCGTCAAGGAGCGTGCACGGTCCACGAGCTTGCCTGGTCTAGGAGCTTGCGTGGTCCAATAGCTTGCTTGGTCCAGAAGCCTGCCTGGTCAAACAGCTTGCATGGTCCAGGAGCGTGCTTGGTCCAAGAGCTTGCGTGATCCAGGAGCTTGCGTGGTCGAGGAGCTTGCCTGGTCCAAGCACTTGCCTGGTCCAAGAGCTTGCGTGGTCCTGGAGCTTGACTGGTCCAGGAGCTTGCCTGGTCCAGGAGCTTACCTGGTCCAGGAGCTTGCCAGGTCCAGGAGCCTGCCTAGTTCAGGAGCTTGCCTGGTCTAGGAGCTTGCCTAGTCAAGGAGCTTGCCTGGTCCAGGTTCGTGCCTGGTCCACGAGCTTGCCTGGTCCAAGCACTTGCCTGGTCTAAGAGCTTGCATGGTCCAGGAGCGTGCCTGGTCCAAGAGCTTGCCCGGTCCAGGAGCTATCCTGGTCCAGGAGCTTGCCTGGTCTAGGAGATTGCCTTGTCCAAAAGCTTGACTGTTCCAGGAGTGTGCTTGGTCCACGAGCGTGCGTGGTCCACGAGCGTGCGTGGTCCAGGAGCTTGCTTGGTCCAGGAGCTTGCCTGGTCCAAGAGCTTGCCTGGTCGAGGAGCTTGCGTGGTCCACGAGCTTGCCTGGTCCAGGAGCATGCCTGGTCTACGAGCGAGCCTGGTCCAGGAGCTTGCCTGGTCAAGGAGCTTGTCTGGTCTAGGAGCTTGCCTGGTCCACGAGCCTGCCTGGTCCAAGAGCTTGCCTGGTCTAGGAGCGTGCATGGTGCACGAGCGTGCCTGGTCCAGGAGCTTGCCTGGTCCAGGAGCTTGCCTCGTCCAGGAGCTTGCCTGGTCACGAGCCTGCCTGGTCCAAGAGCTTGCCTGGTTCAGGAGCGTGCATGGTCCACGAGCGTGCCTCGTCTTGGAGCTTGCCTGGTCTAGGACCTTGCCTGGTCCAAGAGCTTGCCTGGTTTAGGAGCGTGCCTGGTCCGAGAGCTTGTGTAGTCCAGGAGCTTGCATGGTCCAAGAGCTTGCCTGGTCCAGGAGCTTGCCTGGTCCAGGAGCTTGCCTCGTCCAATAGCTTGCCTGGTCCAGGAGCTTGCCTGGTCCAGGAGCTTGCCTGGTCAAGGAGCTTGTGTGGTCCAGGAGCTTGCATGGTCCACGAGCCTGCCTGGTCCAAGAGCTTGCCTGGTCCAGGAGCGTGCATGGTCCACGAGCATGCCTGGTCCAGGAGCTTGCCTGGTCCAAGAGCTTGCCCGATCAAGGAGCTTGCCTAGTCCAGGAGCTTGCGTGGTCTAGGAGCTTGCCTGGTCCACGAGCCTGCCTGGTCCAAGAGCTTGCCTGGTTCAGGAGCGTGCATGGTCCACGAGCGTGCCTGGTCTTGGAGCTTGCCCGGTCCAATAGCTTGCCTGGTCTAGGACCTTGCCTGGTCCAAGAGCTTGCTTGGTCGAGGAGCGTGCCTGGTCCGAGAGCTTGCGTAGTCGAGGAGCTTGCATGGTCCAAGAGCTTGCCTGGTCCAGGAGCTTGCCTGGTCCACGAGCTTGCCTCGTCCAAGAGCTTGCCTGGTCCTAGAGCTTGCGAGGTCCAAGAGCTTGCCTGGTCAAGGAGCTTGCCTGGTATAGGAGCTCACCTAGTCCAGGAGCTTGCCTGGTCGAGGAGCGTGCCTGGTCCAAGAGCTTGCCTTTTCCACGAGCGTGCCTGGTCCAGGAGCTTGCCTTGTCTTGGAGCTTTCTTGGTCCGTGAGCTTGCCTGGTCCAGGAGCTTGCGTGGTCCAGGAGCTTGCCTGGTCCAAGAGCTTGCGTGGTCCAAGAGCTTGCCTGGTCTAGGAGCTTGCCTGGTCCAGGAGCTTGCCTGGTCTAGGAGCTTGCATGGTCAAAGAGCTTGGGTGGTCCAGGAGCTAGCCTGGTCTAGGATCTTGCCTGGTCCAGGAGCTTGCCTGGTCCTAAAGCGTGCCTGGTCTAGGAGTTTGCGTGGTCCAGAAGCTTGCCTGGTCAAGGAGCTTGCATGGTCCAGGAGCGTTCTTGGTCCAGGAGCTTGCCTGGTCCAGGAGCTATCCTGGTCCAGGAGCTTACCTGGTCCAAGAGCTTGCCTGGTCCAGGAGCTTGCCTGTTCGAGGAGCGTGCCTGGTCCAAGAGCTTGCCTGGTCCATGAACTTGCCTGGTCCAGGAGCTTGCCTAGTCAAGGAGCTTGCCTGGTCCAGGAGCTTGCCTGGTCCAGGAGCTTGCCTAGTTCAGGAGCTTGCCTGGTCTCGGAGCTTGCCAGGTCCAGGAGCTTGTCAGGTCCAGGTTCGTGCCTGGTCCACGAGTTTGCTTGGTCCAGAAGCTTGCCTGGTCCAGGAGCTTGCCTCGTCTACGAGCTTGCATGGTCCAGGAGCGTGCCTGGTCGAAGAGCTTGCCTGGTCCAGGAGCTATCCTGGTCTAGGAGCTTACCTGGTCCAGGAGATTGCCTGGTCCAAGAGCTTGACTGTTCCAAGAGCGTGCCTGGTCCAAGAGCTTGCCTAGTCCAAGAGTGTGCATGGTCCACAAGCGTGCCTGGTCCAGGAGCTTACCTGGTCAAGGAGCTTGTGTGGTCCAGGAGCTTACCTGGTCAAGGAGCTTGTGTGGTCCAAGAGCTTGCCTGGTCCAGGAGCGTGCATGGTCCACGAGCGTGCCTGGTCCAAAAGCTTGCCTGGTTCAGGAGCATGCCTGGTCAAGGAGCTTGCCTAGTCCAGGAGCTTGCTTGGTGCAAGAGCTTGCCTGGTCCACGAGCCTGCCTGGTCTAAGAGCTTGCCTGGTTCAGGAGCGTGCATGGTCCACGAGCGTGCCTGGTCTGAGAGCTTACGTAGTCCAGGAGCTTGCATGGTCTAAGAGCTTGCCTGGTCCATGAGCTTGCCTGGTCGAGGAGCTTGCCTCGTCCAAGAGCTTGCCTGGTCCAAGAGCTTGCGAGGTCCAAGAGCTTGCGTGCTCCAGGAGCTTGCCTGGTCTTGGAGCTCGCATGGTCCAGGAGCTTGCTTGGTCGAGGAGCGTGCCTGGTCCAGGAGTTTGCCTTTTCCACGAGCGTGCCTGGTCCAGGAGCTTGCCTGGTCCAAGGGCTTGCCTGGTCCAAGAGCTTGCGTGGTCCAGGAGCTTGCCTGGTCCAAGAGCTTGCCTGGTCTAGGAGCTTGCCTGGTCCAAGAGCTTGCCTGGTCTAGGAGCTTGCCTGGTCCAAGAGCTTGGGTGGTCCGAGAGCTTACCTGGTCTAGGAGCATGCCTGGTCCAGGAGCTTGCCTGGTCCACGAGCGTGCCTGGTCAACGAGTTTGCGTGGTCCATGACTTGCCTGGTCCAGGAGCTTGCCTAGTCAAGGAGCTTGCCTAGTCCAGGAGCTTGCCTGGTCAAGGAGCTTGCCTGGTCAGGAGCTTGCCTGGTCTACGAGCTTGCCTGGTCCATGAGCTTGCCTGGTCCAGGTTCGTGCCTGGTCCACGAGTTTGCCTGGTCCAGAAGCTTGCCTGGTCCAGGAGCTTGCCTGGTCTAAAAGCTTGCATGGTCCAGGAGCGTGCATAGTCCAAGAGCTTGCCTGGTCCAGGAGCTATCCTGGTCCAGGAGCTTGCGTGGTCCAGGAGATTGACTGGTCCAAGAGCTTGCCTGTTCCAGGAGCGTGCGTGGTCCAAGAGCTTGCCTAGTCCAAGAGCGTGCATGGTCCACAAGCGTGCCTGGTCCAGGAGCTTGCGTGGTCAAGGAGCTTGCCTGGTCCAGGTGCTTGCCTGGTCCAGGAGCTTGCCTGGTCCACGAGCCTGCCTGGTCCAAGAGCTTGCCTAATCCAGGAGCGTGCACGGTCCACGAGCGTGCTTGGTCCAGGAGTTTGCCTGGTCCAGGAGCTTGCGTGGTCCAATAGCTTGCTTGGTCCAGAAGCCTGCCTGGTCCGAGAGCTTGCCTGGTCCAGGAGCGTGCCTGGTCCAAGAGCTTGCGTGATCCAGGAGCTTGTGTGGTCGAGGAGGTTGCCTGGTCCAAGAGCTTGCCTGGTCCAAGAGCTTGCGTGGTCGAGGAGCTTGCTTGGTCCAAGAGCTTGCCTGGTCTAGGAGCTTGCCTTGTCCAGGAGCTTGCTTGGTCCATAAGCGTGCCTGGTCCACGAGTTTGCCTGGTCCAGAAGCTTGCCTCGTCCAGGAACTTGCCTGGTCTAGGAGCTTGCATGGTCCAGGAGCGTGCCTGGTCCAGGAGCTTGCCTAGTCCAGGAGCTATCCTGGTCCAGGAGCTTTCCTGGTCCAGGAGCTTGCCTGGTCCAGCAGCTTGCCTGTTCCACGAGCATTCCTGGTCCAGGACCTTGCCTTGGACGTGGTCGTGGACATGGACGTGGTCGTGGTCGTGGACGTGGACATGGACATGGACGTGGACGTGGTCGTGGACGTGGACGTGGACGTGGACGTGGACGTGGTCGTGGACGTGGACGTGGACGTGGTCGTGGACGTGGACGTGGACGTGGACGTGGACGTGGTCGTGGACGTGGACGTGGACGTGGACGTGGACGTGGACGTGGACATAGACGTGGACGTGGACGTGGACGTGGACGTGGACATGGACGTGGACTTGGACATGGACGTGGACGTGGACGTGGACATGGACATGGACGTGGACGTGGACGTGGACATGGACGTGGACGTGGACGTGGACGTGGACATGGACGTGGACGTGGACGTGGACGTGGACGTGGACGTGGATGTGGACATGGACATGGACGTGGACGTGGACGTGGACATGGACATGGACGTAGATGTGGACGTGGACGTGGACATGGACATGGACGTGGACGTGGACGTGGACATGGACGTGGACATGGACATGGACGTGGACATGGACGTGGACGTGGACGTGGACGTGGACGTGTACGTGGACATGGACGTGGACGTGGACGTGGACGTGGTCGTGGACGTGGACGTGGACGTGGACGTGGACGTGGTCGTGGACGTGGACGTGGACATGGACGTGGACGTGGACGTGGACGTGGACATGGACGTGGACGTGGACGTGGACGTGGACGTGGACGTGGACGTGGATGTGGACGTGGACGTGGACGTGGACGTGGACATGGACGTAGACGTGGACGTGGACGTGGACATGGACGTGGACGTGGACGTGGTCGTGGACGTGGACGTGGACGTGGACGTGGACGTGGACGTGGACGTGGACATGGACGTGGACGTGGACGTGGACGTGGACGTGGATATGGACGTGGACGTGGACGTGGACGTGGACGTGGACGTGGAAATGGACGTGGACGTGGACATGGACGTGCACGTGGACGTTGACGTGGACATGGTCGTGGACGTGGACCTGGACGTGGACGTGGACATGGACGTGGACATGGTCGTGGACGTGGACGTGGACGTGGACGTGGATGTGGACATGGACGTAGACGTGGACGTGGACGTGGACATGGTCGTGGACGTGGACGTGGAAGTGGACGTGGTCGTGGTCATGGTCGTGGACATGGACGTGGACGTGGACGTGGACGTGGACGTCGACGTGGACGTGGTCGTGGACGTGCACGTGGACGTGGACGTGGACGTGGACATGGACGTGGACATGGAAGTGGACGTGGACGTGGACGTGGACATGGACGTGGATATGGACATGGACGTGGACGTCGACGTGGACGTGGTCGTGGACGTGGACGTGGACGTGGTCGTGGACGTGGACGTGGACGTGGACATGGACGTGGACGTGGACGTGGACGTGGACGTGGGCCTGGACGTGGACGTGGACGTGGACGTGGACGTGGACATGGACGTGGACATGGAAGTGGACGTGGACGTGGACGTGGACGTGGACGTGGACATGGACGTGGACGTGGACGTGGATATGGACGTGGCCATGGACATGGACGTGGACGTGGACGTGGACGTAGACGTGGACGTGGACGTGGTCGTGGACGTGGACGTGGATGTGGACCTGGACGTGGACGTGGACGTGGACGTGGACATGGACGTTGACGTGGACGTGGACGTGGACGTGGACGTGGAAATGGACGTGGACGTGGACATGGATGTGGACGTGGACGTTGACGTGGACATGGTCGTGGACGTGGTCGTGGACGTGGACGTGGACATGGACGTGGACATGGTCGTGGACGTGGACGTGGACGTGGACGTGGACGTGGAGGTGGACATGGACGTGGACGTGGACGTGGACGTGGACGTGGACATGGTCGTGGACGTGGACGTGGAAGTGGACGTGGTCGTGGTTGTGGTCGTAGACATGGACGTGGATGTGGACATGGACGTGGACGTGGACGTGGACGTCGACGTGGACGTGGTCGTGGACGTGGACGTGGACGTAGATGTGGACGTGGACGTGGACGTGGACGTGGACGTGGTCGTGGACGTGGACGTGGACGTGGACGTGGACGTGGACGTGGACATAGACGTGGACGTGGACGTGGACGTGGACGTGGTCGTGGACGTGGACGTGGTCATGGACGTGGACGTGGACGTGGTCGTGGACGTGGACGTGGTCGTGGACGTGGACGTGGACGTGGACGTGGACGTGGACGTGGACATAGACGTGGACGTGGACGTGGACGTGGACATGGACGTGGACGTGGACATGGACGTGGACGTGGACATGGACGTGGACGTGGACGTGGACGTGGACATGGACGTGGACGTGGACGTGGACGTGGACGTGGACGTGGACGTGGACATGGACGTGGACGTGGAGGTGGACGTGGACGAGGACGTGGACGTGGACGTGGACGTGGACGTGGACGTGGACATGGACCTGGACGTGGACGTGGACATGGACGTGGATGTGGACGTGGACGTGGACGTGGACATGGACGTGGATGTGGACGTGGACGTGGACGTGGACATGGACATGGACGTGGACGTGGACGTGGACGTGGACGTGGTCGTGGACGTGGACGTGGACGTGGACATGGACGTGGACGTGGACGTGGACGTGGACGTGGACGTGGACGTGGACGTGGACGTGGACATGGACGTGGACGTGGACGTGGACGTGGACGTGGACATGGACGTGGACGTGGACGTGGACGTGGACGTGGACGTGGACGTCGACGTGGTCGTGGACGTGGACGTGGACGTGGACATAGAGGTGGACATGGAAGTGGACATGGACGTGGACGTAGACATGGACGTGGACATGGACATGGACGTGGACGTCGACGTGGACGTGGACATGGACGTGGACGTGGACGTGGACGTGGACGTGGACGTGGACGTCGACATGGACATGGACATGGACGTGGACGTGGACGTGGACATGGACGTGGACGTGGACAGGGACGTGGACTTGGACGTGGACGTCGACATGGACGTGGACGTGGACATGGACGTGGACGTGGACGTGGACGTCGACATGGACATGGACGTGGACGTGGACGTGGACAGGGACGTGGTCGTGGACGTGGACGTCGACATGGACGTGGACGTGGACATGGACGTGGACGTGGACGTGGACGTGGACATGGACATGGACGTGGACGTGGTCGTGGACGTGGACGTGGTCGTGGACGTGGACGTGGACATGGACGTGGACGTGGATGTGGACATGGACGTGGACATGGACGTGGACGTGGACATGGACGTGGACGTGGATGTGGACGTTGACGTGGACGTGGACGTGGACCTGGACGTGGACATGGACGTGGACGTGGACGTGGACGTGGACGTCGACGTGGACGTCGACGTGGACGTGGATGTGGACGTGGATGTGGACGTGGACGTGGACGTGGATGTGGACGTGGACATGGACGTGGACGTGGACGTGGACGTGGACGTGGACATGGACGTGGACGTGGACGTGGACGTGGACATGGTCGTGGACGTGGACGTGGAAGTCGACGTGGACGTGGTCGTGGACGTGGACGTGAACGTGGACGTGGACGTGGAAGTCGACGTGGACGTGGTCGTGGACGTGGACGTGAACGTGGACGTAGACGTGGACGTGGACGTGGACGTGGACGTGGACGTGGACATGGACGTGGACATGGAAGTGGACATGGACGTGGACGTAGACATGGACGTGGACATGGACATGGACGTGGACGTGGACGTGGTCGTGGACGTGGACGTGGACGTGGACATGGACATGGACGTGGACATAGACGTGGACGTGGACATAGACATGGACGTGGACGTGGACGTGGACGTGGACGTCGTCGTGGACGTGGACGTGGACATGGACGTGGTCGTGGACGTGGACGTGGTCGTGGACGTGGACGTGGACGTGGACGTGGACGTGGACATGGACATGGATGTGGACATGGACGTGGACGTGGACGTGGACGTGGACATGGACATGGACGTGGAAGTGGACGTGGACGTGGACGTGGACATGGACGTGGACGTGGACGTGGACGTGGACATGGACGTGGACGTGGACGTGGACATGGACGTGGACATGGACATGGACGTGGACGTGGACGTGGACGTGGACGTGGTCGTGGACGTGGACGTGGACGTGGACGTGGACCTGGACGTGGACGTGGACCTGGACGTGGACGTGGACGTGGACGTGGACGTGGACGTGGACGTGGACGTGGACGTGGACGTGGACGCGGACGCGGACGTGGACGTGGACGTGGACGTGGACGTGGACGTGGACGTGGACGTGGACGCGGACGTGGACGTGAACGTGGACGCGGACGTGGACGCGGACGTGGACGTGGACGTGGACGTGGACGTGGACGTGGACGTGGACGTGGTCGTGGACGTGGTCGTGGTCGAGGACGTGGACGTGGACGTGGACGTGGACGTGGATGTGGACGTGGACGTGGACGTGGACGTGGTCGTGGACGTGGACGTGGACGTGGTCGTGGACGTGGACGTGGACGTGGACGTGGACGTGGACGTGGACGTGGACCTGGACGTGGACGTGGACGTCGACGTGGACGTGGACGTGGACGTGGACGTGGACGTCGACGTCGACGTGGACATGGACGTGGACGTGGACGTGGACATGGACGTGGACGTGGACGTGGACGTGGACGTGGACGTCGACATGGACATGGACGTGGACGTGGACGTGGACAGGGACGTGGTCGTGGACGTGGACGTCGACATGGACGTGGACGTGGACATGGACGTGGACGTGGACGTGGACGTGGACGTGGACATGGACATGGACGTGGACGTGGTCGTGGACGTGGACGTGGTCGTGGACGTGGACGTGGACATGGACGTGGACATGGACGTCGACGTGGACGTCGACGTGGACATGGACGTGGACGTGGATGTGGATGTTGACGTGGACGTGGACGTGGACCTGGACGTGGACATGGACGTGGACGTGGACGTGGACGTGGACATCGACGTGGACGTCGACGTGGACGTGGATGTGGACGTGGATGTGGACGTGGACGTGGACGTGGATGTGGACGTGGACATGGACGTGGACGTGGACGTGGACGTGGACATGGACATGGACGTGGACGTGGACGTGGACGTGGACATGGTCGAGGACGTGGACGTGGAAGTCGACGTGGACGTGGTCGTGGACGTGGACGTGAACGTGGACGTGGACGTGGAAGTCGACGTGGACGTGGTCGTGGACGTGGACGTGAACGTGGACGTAGACGTGGACGTGGACGTGGACGTGGACGTGGACATGGACGTGGACATGGAAGTGGACATGGACGTGGACGTAGACATGGACGTGGACATGGACATGGACGTGGACGTGGACGTGGTCGTGGACGTGGACGTGGACGTGGACATGGACATGGACGTGGACATAGACGTGGACGTGGACATAGACATGGACGTGGACGTGGACGTGGACGTGGACGTGGTCGTGGACGTGGACGTGGACGTGGACGTGGTCGTGGACGTGGACGTCGACGTGGACGTGGTCGTGGACGTGGACGTGGACGTGGACGTGGACATGGACATGGACGTGGACATGGACGTAGACGTGGACGTGGACGTGGACATGGACATGGACGTGGAAGTGGACGTGGACGTGGACGTGGACATGGACGTGGACATGGACATGGACATGGACGTGGAAGTGGACGTGGACGTGGACGTGGACATGGACGTGGACGTGGACGTGGACGTGGACGTGGACATGGACATGGACGTGGACGTGGTCGTGGACGTGGACGTGGTCGTGGACGTGGACGTGGACATTGACGTGGACATGGACGTCGATGTGGACGTCGACGTGGACATGGACGTGGACGTGGATATGGACGTTGACGTGGACGTGGACGTGGACCTGGACGTGGACATGGACGTGGACGTGGACGTGGACGTGGTCGTCGACGTGGACGTCGACGTGGACGTGGATGTGGACGTGGATGTGGACGTGGACGTGGACGTGGATGTGGACGTGGACATGGACGTGGACGTGGACGTGGACGTGGACATGGACGTGGACGTGGACGTGGACGTGGACATGGTCGTGGACGTGGACGTGGAAGTCGACGTGGACGTGGTCGTGGACGTGGACGTGAACGTGGACGTGGACGTGGAAGTCGACGTGGACGTGGTCGTGGACGTGGACGTGAACGTGGACGTAGACGTGGACGTGGACGTGGACGTGGACGTGGACATGGACGTGGACATGGAAGTGGACATGGACGTGGACGTAGACATGGACGTGGACATGGACATGGACGTGGACGTGGACGTGGTCGTGGACGTGGACGTGGACGTGGACATGGACATGGACGTGGACATAGACGTGGACGTGGACATAGACATGGACGTGGACGTGGACGTGGACGTGGACGTGGTCGTGGACGTGGACGTGGACGTGGACGTGGTCGTGGACGTGGACGTCGACGTGGACGTGGTCGTGGACGTGGACGTGGACGTGGACGTGGACGTGGACATGGACATGGACGTGGACCTGGACGTAGACGTGGACGTGGACGTGGACATGGACATGGACGTGGAAGTGGACGTGGACGTGGACGTGGACGTGGACGTGGACGTGGACATGGACATGGACGTGGAAGTGGACGTGGACGTGGACGTGGACGTGGACGTGGACATGGACATGGACGTGGACATGGACGTAGACGTGGACGTGGACGTGGACATGGACATGGACGTGGAAGTGGATGTGGACGTGGACGTGGACATGGACGTGGACGTGGACATGGACGTGGACATGGACATGGACATGGACGTGGACGTGGACGTGGACGTGGACGTGGACGTGGACGTGGACGTGGACGTGGACGTGGACGTGGTCGTGGACGTGGACGTGGACGTGGACGTGGACGTGGACGTGGTCGTGGACGTGGACGTGGACGTGGACGTGGACGTGGACGTGGACGTGGTCGTGGACGTGGTCGTGGTCGTGGACGTGGACGTGGACGTGGACGTGGACGTGGTCGTGGACGTGGACGTGGACGTGGTCGTGGACGTGGACGTGGACGTGGACGTGGACGTGGACGTGGACGTGGACATGGACGTGGACGTGGACGTGGACGTGGACGTGGACGTGGACGTGGACGTGGACGTGGACGTGGACGTGGACGTGGACGTGGACGTGGACGTGGACATGGACATGGACGTGGACGTGGACATGGACGTGGACGTGGAGGTGGACGTGGACGTGGACGTGGACGTGGACGTGGACATGGACGTGGACGTGGACGTGGACGTGGACGTGGACATGGACGTGGACATGGACGTGGACGCGGTCGTGGAGGTGGACGTGGAGGTGGACGTGGACGTGGACGTGGACATGGACGTGGACATGGAAGTGGACGTGGACGTGGACGTGGACATGGACGTGGACGTGGACGTGGACGTGGACGTGGACGTGGTCATGGACGTGGACGTGGACGTGGACGTGGACGTGGACGTGGACGTGGACGTGGACGTGGACCTGGACGTGGACGTTAACGTGGACGTGGACGTGGACGTGGACATGGACGTGGACGTGGACATGGACGTGGACGTGGACGTGGACGTGGACGTGGACGTGGAAGTGGACGTGGACATGGACGTGGACGTGGACGTGGTCGTCGACGTGGACGTGGACGTGGACGTGGACGTGGACATGGACGTGGACGTGGTCGTCGACGTGGACGTGGACATGGACATGGACATGGAAGTGGACGTGGACGTGGACATGGACGTGGACATGGACGTGGACGTGGACGTGGACGTGGACGTGGACATGGACGTGGACGTGGACGTGGACATGGACGTGGACGTGGATATGGACGTGGACGTGGACATGGACGTGGACGTGGACGTGGACGTGGACGTGGACGTGGACGTGGACATGGACGTGGACATGGACGTGGACGTGGACGTGGACGTGGTCGTGGACGTGGACGTGGACGTGGACGTGGACGTGGACGTGGACATGGACATGGACGTGGACGTGGACGTGGACGTGGACGTGGACGTGGATTTGGACATGGACGTGGACGTGGACGTGGACGTGGATGTGGACGTGGACATGGTCGTGGACGTGGACGTGGACGTGGAAGTGGACGTGGTCGTGTTCGTGGTCGTGGACATGGACGTGGACGTGGACGTGGACGTGGACGTAGACGTCGACGTGGACGTGGTCGTGGACGTGGACGTGGACGTGGACAGACGTGGACGTGGACGTGGACGTGGACATGGACGTGGACATGGAAGTGGACGTGGACGTGGATGTGGACGTGGACCTGGACGTGGACGTGGACGTGGACGTGGACATGGACGTGGACATGGACATGGACGTGGACGTGGACGTGGACGTGGACGTGGACGTGGACGTGGACGTGGACGTGGACGTGGACATGGACGTGGACGTGGACGTGGACGTGGACGTGGTCGTGGACGTGGACGTGGACGTGGACGTTGACGTGGACATGGTCGTGGAAGTGGACGTGGACGTGGACGTGGACATGGTCGTGGACATGGACGTGGACGTGGACGTGGACGTGGACGTGGACGTGGACATGGACGTGGACGTGGAAGTGGACGTGGACGTGGACGTGGACATGGACGTGGACGTGGACGTGGACGTGGACGTGGACGTGGACGTGGACGTGGACGTCGACATGGACGTGGACGTGGAGGTGGACGTGGACGTGGACATGGACGTGGACGTGGACATGGACGTGGACGTGGACAGGGACGTGGACGTGGACGTGGACATGGACGTGGACATGGACGTGGACGTGGACGTGGACGTGGACGTGGACGTGGACGTGGACATGGACGTGGACGTGGACGTGGACGTGGACGTGGACGTGGTCGTGGACGTGGACGTGGACGTGGACGTGGACGTGGATATGGACGTGGATATGGACGTGGACGTGGACGTGGACGTGGACGTGGACGTGGACGTGGACGTGGACGTGGACGTGGACGTGGACGTAGACGTGGACGTGGACCTGGACGTGGACATGGACGTGGACGTGGACGTGGACGTGGACGTGGACGTGGACGTGGTCGTGGACGTGGACGTGGACGTGGACGTGGACGTGGTCGTGGACGTGGACGTGGACGTGGTCGTGGACGTGGACGTGGACGTGGACGTGGACGTGGACGTGGACGTGGACGTAGATGTGGACGTGGACGTGGACGTGGACGTGGACCTGGACGTGGACGTGGACATGGACGTGGACGTGGACGTGGACGTGGACGTGGACGTGGACGTGGTCGTGGACGTGGAAGTGGACGTGGACGTGGACGTGGTCGTGGACGTGGACGTGGACGTGGTCGTGGACGTGGACGTGGACGTGGACGTGGATGTGGACGTGGACGTGGACGTGGACGTGGACGTGGACGTGGACGTGGTCGTGGACGTGGACGTGGACGTGGACGTGGACGTGGACGTGGACGTGGACGTGGACGTGGACGTGGACGTGGACATGGACGTGGACGTGGTCGTGGACGTGGACGTGGACGTGGACGTGGACATGGACGTGGACGTGGACGTGGACGTGGACATGGACGTGGACGTGGACGTGGACGTGGACGTGGACGTGGACGTGGACGTGGACGTGGACATGGACATGGACGTGGACGTGGACGTGGACGTGGACGTGGACGTGGACGTGGACATGGACGTGGACGTGGACGTGGACGTGGACGTGTACGTGGACGTGGACGTGGACGTGGACGTGGACGTGAACATGGACGTGGACGTGGATGTGGACATCGACGTGGACATGGCCGTGGACGTGGACGTAGACGTGGACGTGGAGGGGGACGTGGACGTGGAAATGGACGTGGACGTGGACATGGACGTAGACGTGGACGTGGACGTGGACGTGGACGTGGACGTGGACGTGAACATGGACGTGGACGTGGATGTGGACATCGACGTGGACATGGCCGTGGACGTGGACGTAGACGTGGACGTGGAGGGGGACGTGGACGTGGAAATGGACGTGGACGTGGACATGGACGTAGACGTGGACGTGGACGTGGACGTGGAGGTGGACATGGTCGTGGACGTGGACGTGGAAGTGGACGTGGTCGAGGTCGTGGTCGTGGACCTGGACGTGGACGTGGACGTGAACGTGGACGTGGACGTGGACGTCGACGTGGACGTGGTCGTGGACGTGGACGTGGACGTGGACATTGACGTGGACGTGGACTGGGACGTGGACGTGGACGTAGACATGGTCGTGGACGTGGACGTGGAGGTGGACGTGGACGTGGACATGGACGTGGACGTGGACGTGGACAGGGACGTGGACGTGGACGTTGGACGTGGACGTGGACGTGGACGTGGACGTGGTCGTGGACGTGGACGTGGACGTGGACGTGGACGTGGACCTGGACGTGGACGTGGACGTGGACGTGGACGTGGACGTGGACGTGGACGTGGACTTGGACGTGGACGTGGACGTGGACGTGGACGTGGAAGTGGACGTGGACGTGGACGTGGAAGTGGACGTGGACGTGGACGTGGACGTGGATGTGGACGTGGACGTGGACGTGGACGTGGACGTGGACGTGGACGTCGACATGGACGTGGACGTGGACGTGGACATGGACGTGGACGTGGACGTGGACGTGGACGTGGACGTGGACATGGACATGGACGTGGACGTGGACATAGACGTGGACGTGGACGTGGACGTAGACGTGGACGTGGACGTGGACATGGACGTGGACGTCGAAGTGGACGTGGACGTGGACGTGGACGTGGACGTGGACGTGGACGTGGACGTGGACGTGGACATGGACGTGGACGTGGACGTGGACGTGGACATGGACGTGGACGTGGACGTGGACGTAGACGTGGACGTGGACATGGACGTGGACGTGGACGTGGACGTGGACGTCGAAGTGGACGTGGACGTGGACATGGACGTGGACGTGGACGTGGATGTGGACGTGGACTTGGACGTGGACGTGGACGTGGAGGTGGACGTGGACGTGGACATGGACGTGGACATGGACGTGGACGTGGACGTGGATGTGGACGTGGACATGGACATGGACGTGGACGTGAACGTGGACGTGGACGTGGACATGAACGTGGACATGGACGTGGACATGGACGTGGACGTGGACGTGGACGTGGTCGTAGATGAGGCCGCGGACGTGGACATCTACGCTGATGTGGACGTGGACGTGGACGTGGACATGGACGTGGACGTGGACGTGGACGTGGACGTGGACATGGACGTGGACGTGGACCTGGACGTGGACGTGGACGTGGACCTGGACGTGGTCGTGGACGTGGACGTGGACGTGGACGTGGACCTGGACGTGGACGTGGACATGGACGTCGACGTGGACGTCGACGTGGACATGGACGTCGACGTGGACGTGGACGTAGACGTGGACATGGACGTGGACGTGGACATGGACGTGGACGTGGTCGTGGACGTGGACGTGGACATCGACGTGGACGTGGACGTGGACGTGGACGTGGACGTGGACATGGTCGTGGACTTGGACGTGGAGGTGGACGTGGACGTGGACATGGACGTGGATGTGGACATGGATGTGGACGTGGACAGGGACGTGGACGTGGACGTTGACGTGGACATGGACGTGGACGTGGACATGGACGTGGACGTGGACGTGGACATGGACGTGGACATGGACATGGACGTGGACATGGACATGGACGTGGACATGGACGTGGACGTGGACGTGGACGTGGTTGTGGACGTGGACGTGGACGTGGACATGGACGTGGACGTGAAAAGACGTAGACGTGGACGTGGACGTGGACATGGACGTAGACGTGGACGTCGACGTGGACGGGGACGTGGACGTGGACGTTTACGTGGACATGGACGTGGACGGGGACGTGGACGTGGACGTGGACATGGACGTGGACGTGGACGTGGATGTGGTCGTGGACGTGGACGTGGACGTGTATGTGGTCGTGGACGTGGACGTGGACGTGGACGTGGACCTGGACGTGGATGTGGACGTGGACGTGGACGTGGACTTGAACGTGGACGTGGACGTGGACGTGGACGTCGACGTGGACATGGACGTGGACGTCGAAGTGGACATGGACGTGGACGTGGACGTGGACGTGGACGTGTACGTGGACGTGGACGTGGACGTGGACGTGGACGTGAACATGGACGTGGACGTGGACGTGGACGTCGACGTGGACATGGACGTGGACGTGGACGTGGACGTGGACGTGGACATGGACGTGGACGTGGACGTGGACGTCGACGTGGACATGGACGTGGACGTGGAGGGGGACGTGGACGTGGAAATGGACGTGGACGTGGACATGGACGTAGACGTGGACGTGGACGTGGACGTGGAGGTGGACATGGTCGTGGACGTGGACGTGGAAGTGGACGTGGTCGAGGTCGTGGTCGTGGACCTGGACGTGGACGTGGACGTGAACGTGGACGTGGACGTGGACGTCGACGTGGACGTGGTCGTGGACGTGGACGTGGACGTGGACATTGACGTGGACGTGGACTGGGACGTGGACGTGGACGTAGACATGGTCGTGGACGTGGACGTGGAGGTGGACGTGGACGTGGACATGGACGTGGACGTGGACGTGGACAGGGACGTGGACGTGGACGTTGGACGTGGACGTGGACGTGGACGTGGACGTGGTCGTGGACGTGGACGTGGACGTGGACGTGGACGTGGACCTGGACGTGGACGTGGACGTGGACGTGGACGTGGACGTGGACGTGGACCTGGACGTGGACGTGGACGTGGACGTGGACGTGGAAGTGGACGTGGACGTGGACGTGGAAGTGGACGTGGACGTGGACGTGGACGTGGATGTGGACGTGGACGTGGACGTGGACGTGGACGTGGACGTGGACGTCGACATGGACGTGGACGTGGACGTGGACATGGACGTGGACGTGGACGTGGACGTGGACGTGGACGTGGACGTGGACATGGACGTGGACGTGGACGTGGACATAGACGTGGACGTGGACGTGGACGTAGACGTGGACGTGGACGTGGACATGGACGTGGACGTCGAAGTGGACGTGGACGTGGACGTGGACGTGGACGTGGACGTGGACGTGGACGTGGACGTGGACATGGACGTGGACGTGGACGTGGACGTGGACGTGGACGTGGACATGGACGTGGACGTGGACGTGGACGTAGACGTGGACGTGGACATGGACGTGGACGTGGACGTGGACGTGGACGTCGAAGTGGACGTGGACGTGGACATGGACGTGGACGTGGACGTGGATGTGGACGTGGACTTGGACGTGGACGTGGACGTGGAGGTGGACGTGGACGTGGACATGGACGTGGACATGGACGTGGACGTGGACGTGGATGTGGACGTGGACATGGACATGGACGTGGACGTGAACGTGGACGTGGACGTGGACATGAACGTGGACATGGACGTGGACATGGACGTGGACGTGGACGTGGACGTGGTCGTGGACGTGGACATGGACGTGGACGTGGACGTGGACATGGACGTGGACGTGGACGTGGACGTGGACGTGGACATGGACGTGGACGTGGACCTGGACGTGGACGTGGACGTGGACCTGGACGTGGTCGTGGACGTGGACGTGGACGTGGACGTGGACCTGGACGTGGACGTGGACATGGACGTCGACGTGGACGTCGACGTGGACATGGACGTCGACGTGGACGTGGACGTAGACGTGGACATGGACGTGGACGTGGACATGGACGTGGACGTGGTCGTGGACGTGGACGTGGACATCGACGTGGACGTGGACGTGGACGTGGACGTGGACATGGTCGTGGACTTGGACGTGGAGGTGGACGTGGACGTGGACATGGACGTGGATGTGGACATGGATGTGGACGTGGACAGGGACGTGGACGTGGACGTTGACGTGGACATGGACGTGGACGTGGACATGGACGTGGACGTGGACGTGGACATGGACGTGGACATGGACATGGACGTGGACATGGACATGGACGTGGACATGGACGTGGACGTGGACGTGGACGTGGTTGTGGACGTGGACGTGGACGTGGACATGGACGTGGACGTGAAAAGACGTAGACGTGGACGTGGACGTGGACGTGGACGTAGACGTGGACGTCGACGTGGACGGGGACGTGGACGTGGACGTTTACGTGGACATGGACGTGGACGGGGACGTGGACGTGGACGTGGACATGGACGTGGACGTGGACGTGGATGTGGTCGTGGACGTGGACGTGGACGTGTATGTGGTCGTGGACGTGGACGTGGACGTGGACGTGGACCTGGACGTGGATGTGGACGTGGACGTGGACGTGGACTTGAACGTGGACGTGGACGTGGACGTGGACGTCGACGTGGACATGGACGTGGACGTCGAAGTGGACGTGGACGTGGACGTGGACGTGGACGTGGACGTGGACGTGGACGTGGACGTGGACATGGACGTGGACGTGGACGTGGACGTGGACGTGGACGTGGACATGGACGTGGACGTGGACGTGGACGTAGACGTGGACGTGGACATGGACGTGGACGTGGACGTGGACGTCGAAGTGGACGTGGACGTGGACATGGACGTGGACGTGGACGTGGATGTGGACGTGGACTTGGACGTGGACGTGGACGTGGAGGTGGACGTGGACGTGGACATGGACGTGGACATGGACGAGGACGTGGACGTGGATGTGGACGTGGACATGGACATGGACGTGGACGTGAACGTGGACGTGGACGTGGACATGAACGTGGACATGGACGTGGACATGGACGTGGACGTGGACGTGGACGTGGTCGTGGACGTGGACGTGGACGTGGACGTGGACGTGGACATGGACGTGGACGTGGACGTGGACGTGGACGTGGACATGGACGTGGACGTGGACCTGGACGTGGACGTGGACGTGGACCTGGACGTGGTCGTGGACGTGGACGTGGACGTGGACGTGGACCTGGACGTGGACGTGGACATGGACGTCGACGTGGACGTCGACGTGGACATGGACGTCGACGTGGACGTGGACGTAGACGTGGACATGGACGTGGACGTGGACATGGACGTGGACGTGGTCGTGGACGTGGACGTGGACATCGACGTGGACGTGGACGTGGACGTGGACGTGGACATGGTCGTGGACTTGGACGTGGAGGTGGACGTGGACGTGGACATGGACGTGGATGTGGACATGGATGTGGACGTGGACAGGGACGTGGACGTGGACGTTGACGTGGACATGGACGTGGACGTGGACATGGACGTGGACGTGGACGTGGACATGGACGTGGACATGGACATGGACGTGGACATGGACATGGACGTGGACATGGACGTGGACGTGGACGTGGTTGTGGACGTGGACGTGGACGTGGACATGGACGTGGACGTGAAAAGACGTAGACGTGGACGTGGACGTGGACGTGGACGTAGACGTGGACGTCGACGTGGACGGGGACGTGGACGTGGACGTTTACGTGGACATGGACGTGGACGGGGACGTGGACGTGGACGTGGACATGGACGTGGACGTGGACGTGGACGTGGATGTGGTCGTGGACGTGGACGTGGACGTGTATGTGGTCGTGGACGTGGACGTGGACGTGGACGTGGACGTGGACGTGGATGTGGACGTGGACGTGGACGTGGACTTGAACGTGGACGTGGACGTGGACGTGGACGTCGACGTGGACATGGACGTGGACGTGGACGTGGACGTGGACGTGGACGTGGACGTGGACATGGACGTGGACGTGGACGTGGACGTGGACGTGGACGTGGACGTGGTCGTGGACGTGGACGTGGACATGGACGTGGACATGGACGTGGACGTGGACGTGGACGTGGTCGTGGACGTGGACGTGGACGTGGAGGACTTGAACGTGGACTGGACGTGGACGTGGACGTGGACGTGGACGTCGACGTGGACATGGACGTGGACATGGACGTGGACGTGGACGTGGACGTGGTCGTGGACGTGGACGTGGACGTGGAGGACTTGAACGTGGACTGGACGTGGACGTGGACGTGGACGTGGACGTCGACGTGGACATGGACGTGGACATGGACGTGGACGTGGACGTGGACGTGGACATGGAGGTGGACGTGGATGTGGAGGACTTGGACGTGGACATGGACGTGGACGTGGACGTGGACGTGGACGTGGACATGGATGTGGACGTGGACGTGGACGTTGACGTGGACGTGGACATGGACGTGGACGTGGACATGGACGTGGACGTGGATATGGACGTGGACATGGACGTGGACATGGACGTGGACGTGGACATGGACGTGGACGTGGACAGGGACGTGGACGTGGACGTCGACATGGACGTAGACGTGGAGGTGGACGTGGACGTGGACGTGGACGTGGACATGGACGTGGACGTGGACGTGGTCGTGGACGTGGACGTGGACATGGACGTGGACGTGGACGTGGACGTGGAGGACTTGAACGTGGACTGGACGTGGACGTGGACGTCGACGTGGACATAGACGTGGACGTGGACGTGGACGTGGACGTGGACATGGACGTGGACGTGGACGTGGACATGAACGTGGACGTAACATGGACGTGGACATGGACGTGGACGTGGACGTGGACATGGAGGTGGACATGGACGTGGACATGGACGTGGACGAGGACGTGGACATGTACGTGGACGTGGACATGGACGTGGACGTGGATGTGGACGTGGACGTGGAGATGGACGTGGACGTGGACAGGGACGTGGACGTGGACGTGGACGTCGACATGGACGTGGACGTGGACATGGACATGGACGTGGACAGGGACGTGGACGTGGACGTGGACCTCGACATGGACGTGGACGTGGAGGTGGACGTGGACGTGGACGTGGACGTGGACATGGACGTGGACGTGGACGTGGACGTGGTCGTGGACGTGGACGTGGACATGGACGTGGACGTGGACTGGGACGTGGAGGACTTGAACGTGGACTGGACGTGGACGTGGACGTCGACGTGGACATGGACGTGGACGTGGACGTGGACGTGGACGTGGACATGGACGTGGACGTGGACGTGGACATGAACGTGGACGTGGACGTGGACGTGGACATGGACGTGGACGTGGACATGGAGGTGGACGAGGACGTGGACATGGACGTGGACGTGGACGTGGACATGGACGTGGACGTGGACGTGGACGTGGACATGGACGTGGACGTGAACGTGGACGTCGACATGGACGTGGACGTGGAGGTGGACGTGGACGTGGACGTGGACGTGGACGTGGACATCGACCTGGACGTGGACGTGGACGTGGACGTGGATGTGGACGTGGACGTGGAGATGGACGTGGACGTGGACGTGGACGTAGACGTGGACGTGGACATGGACGTGGACGTGGACGTGGACGTGGACGTGGAGGTGGACGTGGACATGGACGTGGACGTGGACGTGGACATGGACGTGAACGTAGACATGGACGTGGACGTGGACATGGACGTGGACATGGACGTGGACGTGGACGTGGACGTGGGGACATAGACGTGAACGTGGACGTGGACGTGGACGTGGACGTGGACATGGACGTGGATGTGGACGTGGAGGACTTGGACGTGGACATGGACGTGGACGTGGACGTGGATGTGGACGTGGACGTGGACGTGGACATGGACGTGGACGTGGATGTGGCATGGACGTGGACGTAGACATGGACGTGGACGTGGACGTGGACATGGACGTGGACGTGGACGTGGAGGACATGGACGTGGACATGGACGTGGACGTAGACGTGGACGTGGACGTGGACATGGACATGGACGTGGACGTGGACGTGGACGTGGACGTGGACATGGACGTGGAGATGGATGTGGACGTGGACGTGGACGTGGACGTGGTCGTAGACGTGGACGAGGACGTGGACATGGACGTGGACGTGGAGGACTTGGACGTGGACATGGACGTGGACGTGGACATGGACGTGGACGTGGACGTGGTCATGGACGTGGACGCGGACGTGGACGTGGACATGGACGTGGACGTGGTCGTGGACGTGGACGTGGACATGGACGTGGACGTGGACGTGGACGTCCAGGAGCCTTCCTCGTCCACAAGCCTCCCTCGTCCACGAGCCTGCCTCGTCCACGAGCCTGCCTTGTCAACGAGCCTGCCTCGTCCACGAGCTTGCCTCGTCCAGGAGCTTGCCTCGTCCAAGAGCTTGCCTGGTCCAGGAGCTTGCCTGGTCCAGGAGCTTGCCTGGTCCACGAGCTTCCCTGGTCCAGTAGCTTGCCTGGTCCACGAGCTTGCCTGGTCCAGGAGCTTGCCTGGTCCAAGAGCTTGCCTAGTCCAAGAGCTTGTGTGGTCTAGGAGCTTGCCTGGTCCAGGAGCGTGCCTGTTCCATGAGCTTGTCTGGTCCAAGAGTTTGCCTGGTCCAGAAGCTTGCCTCCACGAGCTTGCTTGGTCCAAGAGCTTGCCTTGTCCAGGAGCTTTCTTGGTCCGTTACCTTGCCTGGTCCAGGAGCTTGCCTGGTTCAGGAGCTTGCCTGGTCCTGGAGCTTGCCTGGTCCAGGAACTTGTATTTTCTAGGAGGGAGCCTGGTCCCGGAGCTAGCCTTGTCCAGGAGCTTGCCTGGTCCAGGAGCTTGCCTTGTCCAGGAGCTTGCCTTGTCCAGGAGCTTGCCTTGTCTAGGAGCTTTCTTGGTCCGTTACCTTGCCTGGTCCAGGAGCTTGCCTGGTCCAGGAGCTTGCGAAGTCCAGCAGCTTGCCTGGTCCATGAGCTTGCCTGGTCCATGAGCGTGCCTGGTCCACGAGTTTGCCTAGTGCACGAGCTTGCCTGGTTCAGCAGCTTGCTTGGTCCAGGAGCGTGCTTGGTCCACAAGCCTGCCTCGTCCAAGAGCTTGCCTAGTCCGGGAGCGTGCCTGGTCCACGAGCGTGCCTGGTCCAGGAGCGTGCCTGGTCCAGGAGCTTGCCTGGTCCAGGAGCGTGCCTGGTCGAGGAGCGTGCCTGGTCCAGGAGCTTGCCTGGTCCAGGAGCTTGCGTGGTCCAGGAGCTTGCCTGGTCCAAGAGCTATCCTGGTCCAGCAGCTTGCCTTGTCCAGGAGCTTGCCTGGTCCTAGAGCTTGCCTGGTCCATGATCTTGCTTGGTCCAAGAGCTTTCCTCTTCCTGAAGTTTGCCTCGTCCCAGGCAAGCTCTTAGACCAGGAAAGCTCGTGGACCAGGCAAGCTTTTGGACCAGGCAAGCTCTTGGACCAGGCAAGCTCCTGAATCAGGCAAGCTAACGGACCAAGAAAGCTCCTGGAGAAGGCAAGCTCCTAGACCACGCAAGCTCCTAGACCAGGCAAGCTCCTGGACCAGGGTAGATCCTGGACCAGGTAAGCTCGTGGACTAGGCACGCTCTTGGACCATGCAAGCTCCTAGACCAAGCAAGCTCTTGGACCAGGCAAGCTTCTGGACTAGGCAAACTCGTGGACCACGCACGCTCCTTGACCAGGCAAGATCCTGGACTAGGATAGCTCCTAGACCAGGCAAGCTCCTGGACAAGGCAAGCTCCTAGACCACGCAAGCTCTTGGACCACGCAAGCTCTTGGACCAGGCAAGCTCGTGGACCAGGCAAGCTCCTGGACCAGGCAAGCTCCTGGACAAGGCAAGCTCCTAGACCAAGCAAGCTCCAGCACCAGACACGCTCATGGACCAGGCAAGCTCCTACACCAAGCAAGCTCTTGGACTAGGCATGCTCCTAGACCAGGCAAGCTCTTGGACTAGGCGGGCTTCTGGACCAAGCAAGCTTCTGGATAAGGCACACTCCTGGACCAGGCACGCTCCTGGACAAGGCGAGCTCCTAGACCATGCAAGCTCCTGGACCACGCATGCTCTTGGACCAAGCAAGCTCCTAGATATGGCAAGCTCCTGGACCAGGCAAGCTCATTAAGCAGGCAAGCCTCTGGCCCAGGCAAGCTCTTGGACCAGGCAAGCTCTTGGACCAGGCAAGCTCTTGGACCAGGCAAGCTCCTGGACGAGGCAAACTTCAGGACCAGGCAAGCTCTTGGACCAGGCACGCTCTTGGACCAAGCAAGATCTTGGACAAGGCAAGCTCTAGGACCAGGCAAGCTCGTGGACAAGGCAAGCTCCTGGACCACGATAGCTCATGGACCACGCAAGCTCCTGGACCAGACAAGCTCCTGGACCAGGCAAGCTCCTAGACCAGGCAAGCTCCTGGACTAGGCAAGCTGCTGGACCACGCAAGCTCTTGGACCAGGCAAGCTCTTGGACCAGGCAAGCTCCTAGGCTAGGCAAGCTCCTGGACCAGGCAAGCTCCTGGACTACGCAAGCTCCTGGACCATGCAAGCTCTTGGACCAAGCACGCTCCTGGACCAGGCAAGCTCTTGAACCAGGCAGGCTTCTGGGCCAAGCAACCTCTTGGACCAGGCAAGCTCCTAAACCAGTCTAGCTCTTGGACAAGGCAAGCTCCTGGACTAGGCACGCTCATGGACCCGGCAAGCTCCTCGACCAGGCAAGCTCCTGGACCAGGCAAGCTCCTGGACGAGGCAAGCTCCTTGACCAGACACGCTCATGGACCAGGCAAGCTCCTAGACCAGGCAAGCTCTTGGTCTAGGCACACTACTAGACCAGGCAAGCTCTTGGACCAGGGAGGCTTCTGGACCAAGCAAGCTCCTAGACCAGGCACGCTCCTGGACCACGCACACTCCTGGACAAGGCAAGCTCATAGACTAGGCAAGCTCCTCGACAAGGCAAGTTCCTGGACCAGGCACGCTCGTGGACAACGCACGCTCCAGGACCACGAAATCTCTTGGACGAGGCAGGCTCCTGGACCAGGCAAGCTCCTGGACCAGGCAAGCTCTTGGACCAGGCAAGCTCGTGGACCAAGCACGCTCTTGGACCAGGCAAGCTCCTGGACCAGGCAAGCTAACGGACCAAGAAAGCTTCTGGAACAGGCAAGCTCCTGAACGAGGCAAGCTCCTAGACCTAGCAAGCTCCTGGACCAGGATAGCTCCTGGACCAGACAAGCTCCTGGACTAGGCACGCTCTTGGACCATGCAAGCTCCTAGACCAGGCAAGTTCCTGGACCAGGCAAGCTTCTTGATCAGGCAAACTCGTGGACCAGTCACGCTCCTGGACCAGGCAAGCTCCTAGACCAAGCAAGCTCTTGGACCAGGCAAGCTCTTGGACCACGCAAGCTCCTGGACCAGGCAAGCTCCTGGACCAGGCAAGCTCCTGGACAAGGCAAGCTCCTGGACCGAAACGCTCATGGACCAAGGCAAGCTCCTGGACCAGGCAAGCTCCTAGACCAGGCAAGCTCTTGGACTAGGCACGCTCCTAGACCAGGCAAGCTCTTGGACCAGGCAGGCTTCTGGACCAAGCAAGCTCCTGGACCAGGCACACTCAAGGACCAGGCACGTTCCTAGACAAGGCAAGCTCCTAGACTAGGCAAGCTCCTGGACCAAGCAAGCTCCTGGATCAAGCAAGCTCGTGGACGAGGCACGCTCCTTTACCAGGCAAGCTCCCGGACCAGACTCGCTCGTGGACCAATCACGCTCCTGGACAAGGCAAGCTCCTAGACCAGGAATGCTCTTGGACCAGGCAAGCCCCTGGATCAGGCAAGCTCCTGGAACATGCAAGACCCTAGACCAGGCAAGCTCCTGGACCAGGCAAGCTCTTAGACCAGGAAAGCTCCTGGACCAGGCAAGCTCTTGGACCAGGCAAGCTCTTGGACCAGGCAAGCTCCTGAATCAGGCAAGCTAACGGACCAAGAAAGCTCTTGGAGAAGGCAAGCTCCTAGACCACGCAAGCTCCTAGACCAAGCAAGCTCCTGGACCAGGGTAGCTCCTGGACCAGGCAAGCTCGTGGACTAGGCACGCTCTTGGACCATGCAAGCTCCTAGACCAAGCAAGCTCTTGGACCAGGCAAGCTTCTGGACCAGGCAAACTCGTGGACCACGCACGCTCCTTGACCAGGCAAGCTCCTGGACTAGGATAGCTCCTAGACCAGGCAAGCTTCTGGACAAGGCAAGCTCCTGGACCACGCAAGCTCTTGGACCACGCAAGCTCTTGGACCAGGCAAGCTCGTGGACCAGGCAAGTTCCTGGACCAGGCAAGCTCCTAGACAAGGCAAGCTCCTAGACCAAGCAAGCTCCAGGACCAGACACGCTCATGGACCAGGCAAGCTCCTACACCAAGCAAGCTCTTGGACTAGGCATGCTCCTAGACCAGGCAAGCTCTTGGACTAGGCGGGCTTCTGGACCAAGCAAGCTTCTGGATAAGGCACACTCCTGGACCAGGCACGCTCCTAGACAAGGCGAGCTCCTAGACCAGGCAAGCTCCTGGACCAAGCAAGCTCCTTGACCAGACAAGCTAATGGACCAGGCGACCTCCTGGACCAGGCAAGGTCCTCAACCAGGCACGCTCGTGGACCACGCACGCTCCTGGACCAGGCAAGCTCGTGGACCAAGCTCGCTCGTGGACCAGGCACGCTCGTGGACCAGGCACGCTCTTGGACCAGGCAAGCTCTTGGACCAGGCATGCTCCTTGACCAGGCAAGCTCCTAAACCAGGCAAGCTCTTAGACTAGGCAAGCTCCTAAACAAGCAAGCTCATGGAACATGCAAGCTCCGTGATCAGGCAAGCTCCTGGACTAGGCAAGCTCTTGGACCAGGAAAGCTCGTGGACCAGGCAAGCTCATGGACCAGACACGCTAATGGAACACGCAAGCTCCTGGACCAGTCACGCTCTTGGACCAGGCAAGCTCTTGGACCAAGAACGCTTCTGGACCAAGCAAGCTTCTCGACCAAGCAAGCTCCTGGACTAGGCAAGCTCTTGGACCAGGCAAGCTCCTGGACCAGGCAAGCTCCTGGACCAGGCAAGCTCGTTGACCAGGCATGCTCGTGGACCAGGCAAGCTCCTGGACCAGGCAAGCTCTAGGACCAAGCAAGCTCCAGGACCATGCAAGCTCCTGGACTAAGCAAGCTCCTGGACCAGGCAAGCTCGTTGACCAGGCATGCTCCTGGACCAGGCAAGCTCCTGGACCAGGCAAGCTCCTGGACCACGCAAGCTCTTGGACCAGGCTCGCTCCTGGACCAGGCAAGCTCTTGGACCAGGCAGGCTTCCAGACAAAGCAAGCTCGTCAACCAGGCAAGCTCTTCGACCAGACAAGCTCCTCGAGAAGGCAAGCTCCTGGACCAAGCAAGCTCCTGGACTAGGCAAGCCCCTTGACTAGGCAAGCTCCTTGACGAGGCAAGCTCTTGGACAAGGCACGCTCCTGGACCAGGCAAGCTCTTGGACCAGGATGGCTTCTGGACCAAGCAAGCTCCTGGACCAGGCACACTCCTGGACTAGGCACGCTCCTGGATGAGGCAAGCTCTTGGACCAGGCAAGCTCCTGGACCAGGCAAGCTCCTGGAATATGCAAGCTCCTGGACCAGGCAAGCTCCTAGACCGGGAAAGCTCGTGGACCAGGCAAGCTCCTTGACCAAGAAAGCTCCTGGACAAGACAAGCTTCTCGACCAGGCAAGCTCTTGGACCACGCAAGCTCCTGGACCAGGCAAGCTCCTAAACCAGGCAAACTCGTGGACCAGGAACGCTCCTGGACCAGGCAAGCTCCTTGACCAAGCAAGCTCCTGGACCAAGCACGCTCCTGGACCAGGCAAGCTCCTAGACCAGGCAAGCTCTTGGACTAGGCACGCTCTTGGACCAGGCAAGATCTTGGACTAGGCACGCTCCTGGACCAGGCAGGCTTCTGGACCAAGCAAGCTCCTGGACCAGGCACATTCCTAGACCAGGCACGCTCCTAGACACGGCAAACTCCTGGACCAGGCAAGCTCTTGGACCAAGCAAGCTCCTGGATCAGGCAGGCACGTGGACCAGGCACGCTCCTGGACCAGGCAAGCTCTTAGACTAGGAAGGCTCGTGGACCACGTACGCTCCTAGACCAGGCAAGCTCGTGGACCAGGCAAGCTCCTGGACCAGGCAAGCTCTTGGACCAGGCACGCTCGTGGACCAGGCACGATCTTGGACCAGGCAAGCTCCTGGACCAGGCAAGCTCGTGGACCAAGCAAGCTTGTGGACCAGGCACGCTCCTGGACCAGGCAAGCTCTTGGACCAAGCAAGCTTCTGGACCAAGGAAGCTCCTGGACCAGGCAAGCTCCTCGACCAGGCAAGCTCCTGGTCCAGACAAGTTCCTGGACCAGGCTAGCTCCTGGACCAGGCAAGCTCCTGGACCAGGCAAGCTCCTGGACAAGGCAAGCTCCTGGACCGAAACGCTCATGGA